TCATGGTTGGGAACATAATGCCTTAAAAATGAAAGAAGATTGTTAGAGAATTGCAGCCTTTCTGAAGAGAAAGAAAAGTTTCTGCAAGAAGAGGGTGATTCCTACTCCAGCACTGAGAGGGCCCCACTAGGTGGCGCTGTTTCCCTGTAAGGCCCTTGCCGGAGCGAGGCCTCAGTCCTCCCCTCACCACCACCACCACCCGCCCCCGCACCCTGAGCACGTGGGGCAATCAGAGATCATCCAAGTAAGAAATCCTGAAACTAATGTGCATTCAGGTCAGCCCTCTCTAACATCCTCTGACCATGAAAACCTTTGAAACTTCGAGGCATTAGCTGGAGCTCTGGGGTCATTATTTGTGGATAGATTAGAGTAGAAGACAAAAATAGTCCTAGAGACAAATTATTGGGTATAAAATATAGGTCCTTACAGATCTAGTGTTGAAATTATAAAACGCAAGCTATAACAGAACTTTATTAAGTAGACACCATACATTAATGTTATCAACAGTTACTCCACAGTTGGAACACCACACCTTCCAGCCGTGAGCAATTTTCCCCAGCACCACCTGCCACGCTAAGGTGAGGCACAACTTGAAGGGGAGATTATGTCTGTTATAAGAATAACTACATATAGTGGGTTCAACATTTAAAACTTCTTTTAAAAACTATATTGAATTTATTTAATGTGAAAATATATATAATAATTTACTCTAACAAGGTGAAAGTTGTCCATAATTCAACCACTTAAAAAACACAAGCATTTATTGAGTGCTTACTATGTGCTAAACCTTGTTCTAAACACTTTAACTGTGTTACAGCATTACCTACAAGATAAGTAATACTATTGCTCTAGGTAACTAAGATCCAGAGAAATGAAATAACGTATCCAGGCTGGTACAAGGTGGAAATTAGATCTGAGTGGAATCTTCTTCTACTCTTCCAATCCCATTCCCCAGAGACAATTGCTGGTAATATTTTGATGTATGCTCATCTAATCCTTTTCTAATGGTCACACACAGAGACACAAACACAAATGAGCTCATATTAGATATATTATTTTGTGGCTTGCATTTTGTCTCTTAATACATCTGGATCATCTTTCCATATCAACAGATATAGTTTAACTTCTTTTTTATAATGTCTACATAATATCCCTTGGTGTGGATATAGCATAATCTATTTAATCAGCCTCCTATAAATGGATATTAAGAGAGTTTCTAAGAGTTGACTCTTGCAAATTGTGATAACCATAACTTATTTTTCTTTATATTCAAATGTTTGGAGAAAATAGATTACTAGCATGGCTTATTTTCACATGACACTTACTAGTGTCTCTTAAAAATGCTAATGGTTTGTGGAGCATTTGGGAATTGAATCTAAATACTTCAAAAGCTGTAGTAAGTTTCAGCTTGTGATTCCCTGCTCTTGTGTTCCAAGGCCATTGTCATGTAGCAGAACCCACCTGTAGTCAGTCTCCTGCCCCACATCTCCAAACTATGCCCACAAACTCAAACGTCCCAACTCCTGAAAGACAAGACTAAAATATTAGGAACCAGAGAGATACGGAGGATCCATACTTCCTCCAACCTCAGGCCAAACTTGTTGATCTCTAAGTTTTTGGCCCAAAGGGACACGACATTGGTGCAGACACCCAAGACCACCAGCAGGTGGGCAAAGGATTGAAGAGCCAGGAAAAGTATCTCAAGGTGAGACTTGATGGGGAGATGTGCGAAGGCAGCCACCAGGTATTGACAGCAAGGTAAATGTGGACTTGAAAATGTGCTCCTGTGTGTATTTCCTTGAGGGACAGAGTAGTTTCAGATTATTCTGATGACTTGTTGTTGGTTGCAGCCTGGATGTCCCCAAATGAAACTCTTCAAAAGACCAGGGTGTCATGAAGTACAGCTTGTGTCTTGGTTACACATGTGACAGCTGCAGCAGGTGGACCAAGGGGCTTCTTCTGAGAAATCCAGTAAGGATTTAGGGGACAAAGAGGGTCAAGCAGGAGAAGAGGTGGTAGAAGTTAGGAAAGAGAAGACAGCCAAATTTCTGAATCCTTGGAAGCTGCCTTAAGATTTACAATTTACATTAGGAACTTTTCTTTCACTATGCCTTGACTCTTGGAAGAGACTAAGTAGTTGTTCACCAAACTATTTCCTCCTGAGAAAACAGCTAGACTATATTGTCCAGCCTCTCTTGCTGTTAAAGGTGGCCAGGTGACTGAGTTCTGGAAGAAATGACATTTGCCCCTTCCACGCCTGGCCCATAAGGCCTCCTGTGCAATTGCCCGGGCTCTTTCCTCTCCTCAGATTTGCTGCCCAGATGCCGAGGATCCAGCAGACGGCTTCGAGACCCTACAGCAGAACTAGCCGAAAAGAATCTGAGTCCCTGAGTGCCCATGTGGAGCAGAACTTCCTCACCAGCCTGGCTGCACTGTGACAGGAGTGAGAAATAAGCTTTTCACAGGTTTGTTTTTTTGTTAGAGCAGTCAGCTTACCCTGACTGATGCATGCTGAAGTAGTAGTATTTCTCCTACTTCTACGGTTGCTTCTTCTCTGTCTTTTTCCTTGAATCCTTGTCTTTCTCTTATCACCTGAACAAAACTATATCCCAAGAGTCAGAGTTCTTCTGACCACATTTCTCTGGGTCAGCAAGTGACCCTAACTCCAGATCTCTCTTTTCAACTCCACACTCTCATCTCTAGATTTAGCTGTCCCACCATTCTAAATACTTCTAAACCTAAACTCACTATCTTCTAACTTCTTCCCCAAACTGGCTTTCTCTTCTAACGGCCCCTGTCACTGGCCATCTCCTAGCCAGACTGGCTATACATCTCTGTGTGTTCCTCAGTTGCTCCCTCTCACTCACCTTCTCAGTTCACCTCCCTCTCATTCACCAGTGTCAGGTGGGGGCCATGACACTCCCTTTCTCTGCCCCCCACATCCATCCCCAGTCCTCTGCTCCCCTCCCTGCTCTAGCTCTCTCCTCAAGCTGAGTGGTACCCCCAGCCCTCCTCTCTAAGCCAGCACCCTAGGCTATTTCCACATCAGCTCTTGCTTGGCCTTTTGCAAAAGCTATTTTTTTCAATTCAGAAATACATTAAACATTCAGAAAAGTATAGAGAATCATGTACCTAACTCTCGCACCTATCAGTCAACTTTGTCAATCTAAATATTTCGCTATATTTGAAAATGAAGAAAAGAAAAAGAGGAAAAGTAGTTCAGATCTAAGAAATGAAAGGCTTATGTTGTCTCTTACGTTGCACTCGGTGGAATTTGACAGCAACTTACTCAACAGCAGCACGTACAGCAGGGCCGTGTTTCAGCACTTTTCTGTCGTCTCCTCTGTCACAGGGATCTCTGGTGTGACCAAAACCCAGTGGTGTTACATGCATTTTTATAGAAGAAGATGCCATTTGAAGATGCCTAAATTCACACACGGAACTAGATTTTTTTTCTGTGGCTGTTATCACAGATTCTCAGAATTAGAAAATTTGAGGTTATCTAACTTTGCAAATGGGTGGGCAAAAGTAGGTTTACAGTTGTGAATAGCGGAAGAGTTTATTCTTGTATTATTGTTTATTTGTTATTGTATTACTTTCCATATGAACAACTGTAACCTACTTTTGGCTACCACTATATATATGTTTAAATAAAACATTACAGACATATTTGAAGTCCCTTGCCAGTATGCTGGGTATGAATGTATTTAGTTGAGATTTGAATGTCTTTGAACACTGGTGAAATTGAACATTATTTATGTGCATATGATTTTTAAATTTTCTTATTTGTGAATTTTTTACCCATAATTTGCCAACTAAAAATGGCTTGGCCTTTTAATTGACTTATAAATTCTGGCTGCTAACTCTTTATCAGTTATATGCATTGCCAATGCCGTCTCCCTGTCTGCAGCTCATCCTTCTCTTTATTTCTGATGTCTTCCTTTGTACTCAAGTTTCTCATATTAACACAGTCAAATACATTACAGTTTCCCTTTATGGTTTGGTGCCTCAATTTCTCCATCTGTAAAATGGGAAAAAGTACTTATCTTAGAGCAAGGGTATCAAACTCATTTTCACCAGGGGCCACATCAGCCTCACATGGTTGCCATCAAATGGCCAAATGTAATTTTAGGACTGTATAAATGTAACTACTCCTTAACTAGGGATCAAGGAGCTCGGTGCTGTTGCTGGGTAGAAACAAGGTGTCAGGCCAGATACAACAAGGTGGAGGGCTGGATTTGGCCCATGGGCCTTTGTTTGCCACCTGTGCTTTAGAGGGATGTTCAAGTCATTAATGCATGTGGAGGAATGTGACCCATATGAAGGATTCCATAAATATTGGTTTATGAGAATTAATGTCTGTATCCCCAATCCTGGGCAGTGCCTGGCACTCAACAAGCCCCAGTAATAGTTGTCTAATGAATGTAAACACAGAAGCTCTAGTCTGAGCACATCCTTTGAGCTTTGGTAGTTTGTGAGGATTCTGACCCCTAGATGGGTCCTGATGCTTCAGGCAGAACAATGCCAGCAAGAAGCTAAGTCAGGGAGACCATGAGAAGAGGGGTTTTCTCAATGGGTCTGTAGCCTAAAATAGAGACCAAGAGCAGAGGCACAGCCAGGAGCTTGGAACTGTGAAGGACCAGAGGTCAGTGGGGTGCACATCAATGTCAATGACCTTCCAAAGCAAGGTCAGGTCAGGTGGGAGGCCAGGGCACAGCAATGGCCTGCCTCTAAGCAGCCAGATCTGGGCTGCAGGAGAAGGACTCAGGCAGGAAGGGCAGCACTGAGACCTGAGAAGCTGAGGTGATTCTGAGAGTATCCTGTGCTCTCCTTGCTCCCCGCCTCCCTCATCCCCGTGCCTGGTCCTGCAGGTCTGCATGATCACAGTTCCATGGAACCACAGACTAGCAAGGAACCACATCCTCAGTGCTGGGAACCTGGGAGGCGGGTGATGTCAGCAGAGACGTCACAAGTGACAGGCACTTAAGCCACCTTCCTCCAGGAAGAAGACCTCATCCTCCCACACCAGCCTGCAGGCCTCAAACTGCAGGCCCCTTCTCTCCCGCCCTTCTGTCCCCTCTGGCCATGGCACAGCCTGAGCCTCAGGTTCCATCCTGTGAGCAGAGATCCCATCAGCACTGAAGGCAAGCAAGGTACTCCCTAACGGAAACAGTCACAAACAAGCCACCCGAGCAGAAGGCGGTGAGTTCCCAGTCCTCAGAGAGATGGCAGCAGAGAGCACAGGACGCATTGGAGTTTCAGAGAGGGGTTCTGGCATTCCATTGGCAGTTGGATTCTATGACCTTTAATGTCACCTTCGAGAAGTGATGGATCTGTAACTCCAAGCCATCTTCCCCATAATGTGCCAGGACACAACCCTTCTGCCCAGGTGGCCTGTAGTTCCTAGGGTTCAGAGTCACCCTTTGGGGGCCCTGGCTCCAGAAAGGCCCTGTGAACGTGTACTTCAAGAAGGCAGGAAGCCTCTCTCAACAGCTGTTTGACTGAAACACAATTGGCAGAGAGATGGTGGTTTCTGTGGAAGGCGGAGGAGCCCAAGCCTGTTCTGCGGGAGCTCTGTGGGCTACAGTAGGAACAAGCCCGCCCCCTCATCCCACCCTGCCTGGCAAGGACAAGGATTAGAGGGACCCCTGAACAGCAGGCACTGCCAACGTCCTGGCAGGGTCATTCATGAGGATGGATTAGAATCAGGCCAAGAAGAAGAGAGCCTGGGGTAGCAGAGACAGAACTTCCCAGCCTGGCTTTGAGGCTCTGAGAGGACAGTGAAGGAAGGGGACTCACCGGGTTAGTCACCCACAGAGGAACTTGCATAATCCATCAGAAGGATTTCATAGCCCCTGGTCAGGAAGGAAGTGAGAGTCAGAGAGGGGGGCAAAGATTGGGTTAGTCAGAGGTACTGGGTCCCAGAGCCTGTTCAAATGGACTAATGACTCTCCTCACAGACCCTGTGGAGGGGAGCAGGCATGTCTCCAGAAACCCCCTCATGGTCCCCACAGCTTGCCCATCGCAACCCTTAGACTTAAAGCTTCTCCCCTCTGGGTTGGTAGGGATTCTCCTTCTTTTGCTCCCCCTTCCTCATCTCCTTCACAGGAAAGAATGACCCTTGCTGGTGTGGGACCGTCTCAGCCACAAGAAGTCACCCCATCACTGGGGGAACAGCCCTGTGCCTCACACGGGTGCTCGCTGTGAAGTGACTTCTGCTTTCAGATCCTGGGCTCCTCCTCCAGGGCAGCTGACTTGGAGTGCTGGGGTCTGTTTTTAGCAATGCTGGAATATTCCACAGCCAGAAATGGGTCAGGTGTGGGCTTCGGCCTGGGGTGGGTGTTGACATAGATGGAGTCCTCGGGGCTGAAGTAGTTCAGGTGGGAAAGTGAGGCATAGTGGATGTCCCCAGGGTCCTCGCCAGAGCCCATATGCTGGTCGGAGCCCTGGGAATCAAAGACAGACAGATGTCCATTGTACAGATCACACCTGGGCATGGTCAGTGGCCCCCTGGGTGCTGGAGCTGGGCCAAGGACAGGGATAGGGATAGGTGCGGGACAGGTTGTGGGTCCTGCAGAACCTCTGGGGATGGCAGAAGGCAGCAGGGGCACCATCACCGAACAAACCTAAGAAGAGAGGCTACACAGAGTGCTGTCTGAGGGCGAGCATCACATTGTGCAGTGGGGGGCGGGGGGCAGGAACACGTTAAACTGCACAGTTTAACTGGACTGTGCAAACTGCACAGTCCCTGGGGCCAGAGCCCAGGAAACTGTTGTAACAAGCTCTCCAGGAGACTTGTGTGCATGCTCAAGTTTGAGTAGCTTTTAGCTAAAAGAGCACTTGGTAGGAAGGTCGTTTACAGAGGGTTAGACCACATGGATTTAGATCCTCCCAGTTCTGTGATTCTGTGACTTTAAGAGACTCAGATCTTCCCAAAGGAAACAGCCCAGTCCCCAGCTCATGAAGACAGAGCACCCCTGGAAGCCATGTTTTCTACTGTGAGACGCCTTCCCCACAGCCGAATGGACCAAGGGTGCCTGAGCCATAGGCTGTCAGGATACCCCAGAGGAGCTGCGTTAAAAGCTGTCTCCCACAGAGGGAAAGGTCAAAAGATTGGTCAGTTAGTTTCTCCCTCTCTCTGAAGGGTTTGAATTGGGGAAAAATGGGAGAAAGAACACACAGATGAGGCATTTAGGGGCACGATGAGTCACAAGTGAGTCCAGGTTAAGAGTAAATAGAAATGATGAGTAAAGAGAAGCCAGGAAATTAAAAAGAGGAATGACAATAATGAAAACAAAGTTACCCAGGAAAGCTGAGATTCCCTCTGTCTTGGGGAGGCACCTTTCCTATAAACCGTCTCATTCTCATACACGGGAGTGTCATAGGTGTGGTGGGATTTGTCCTTACCTGCGGAAAAACAGTCAGGTTAAGAGGAGGAGCCTCTCTCTACTGCTGTCATGGAAATGCGGGGTGGGGCTGGAGGTCCTGGCCTTGTAGAAGGGACCCTGATGGGGGAGAGGCTGGGCTTGGCTGGGAAACACCTTCCACCCGGAGAGAGCCCAGGTGGCCAGCACAGGTTAGTGTCCAGAAAGTGGACATTAGTTCTAAGGAGCAAATGAAACTGGCTGCCTGTGTTTAATTGCATCAAACCAGTAAACCTGATCAAGGTTAGGTCACTGAAATTTCCAAATTTAAACATCATGTTTAAGCATAATCTATTTGCTGATGAATTTATACTATATAATAGTGTCTTTTAAATTTTTTGGACCAGGAACCACAAAGAAAAACATTTTATTTTTTTACCACACACACACACATCCCCTAGAATTACAGTTCAATGAAAAATTATTCTGCCAATGTGCAAAGCTTTTCTATTTTGTTTTATAAAAACATTACTGTGACCTACTAAGTAGACTTTACACATTTTGAAAAATTTTACAATCCACTACTACTTTAGTACTTTTATAGCTTGACAAACCAAAAGCAATCAGGGCCAATGTCACTCTGGCCCGCTTGTCAATCTCGTGTCAACGGACACGTCACTGGGTGTGTGATAAATGAACACACAGCACCACGTGCTGAACACACCAACCAACAAAAAAGAGGTGGAACCATCCAAAGGCATCAATCTGATTGTCTCGCACAAACTACCACAGAATTCACATGTGACTGATGCTAAACACTAAGAACTTGGAAGATCAAAAAGCCCTTCAAGTGCTTTTAGAAAGACGATATCTAAACATGATAGCAACAATTAAAAAAACAATACCATGAACCAGAAAGGTGTTTACATGAGTTTGCTTTAAAGTCCTTAACTGTAAAAAGATGACAAAATATATGACCCCAAATGAACACTAGAATACCTAGTTTTAGGCAAATTGGTGCTGGCCTCACGCGGGCCTGGTTTCCTTGTAGGCAACCGGGCACAAGGAGTCCGCCCGTGGCTCACAAGCACCTCGCCCAGGCTGAGCTCCCAGCGGTCTGCCCCGAGCCTGCAGCAGGTTTACCTGTCCTGGCTCTTCCCAGGGCTTTGCAGAGGAACAGGATCATGAGGAGGATGAGCACCAGCAGCAGCAGGAGGGCCACTGTCGCACTGAAGATGACACCCCAGTGGCCTGGGGGGCTTCGGAAAAGGGACCAGTCAGGTGAGGAAAGTCAGATCCAAACATCTTCAGGGAAACCACCCCTCCCCCATGGCAGCGGTCACAGAGATGCTCCCACTGAGCTGACCAGGGTGCAACCGGGGGCCAAGGTGTCTGCCCTGGAGGCCATGCAGTCTCACCGAGCCATTCCAACTCTGGTCCTGCTTCCTCTCTAAAGCAGGGACGTGGACAACGTCTCCTCCAGTTTTGCGCTGTTTGCTGCTCCCTAACTGGCCTTCTGGGCCCCTGTTTCAGGGTCTGTGCTCACCTCTCCTACGTCCTTCCCTTAATTATTCTTGGTCCCAGCTCCTCACCCTCAGCCCCTCCCTGTGAGATGCAATTAGCTCTTGGAGAATCCTGCTGTCATCCCACAAACAGCTCTGTACATTAACAAACGTATTTTCATAGGTCTTGTCTTAAGTCAAAGGAAAAACAAAAAGTAGACTTCCTTACAACATAGCAGGCACTTAGGGAAGATGCCTGGGGTGCCAGGGGTCATAGGGTCAAGGCAGCAGCTCTAGGGACACCGACCACTCAGCTCCACTGACCAGCACCTCTTGGTTTCTGGTGTAATGCCTCAGACAAGGAACTGTGGTTTGCAGGAGCCCAGGATTCACTGTGACAGAGTGTGGAGGGAGGGCACCGAGGACTGAGGCAGGAAGAGAAACAGCTATCAGGCCAGTCTCAGGGCTTGAGGCCTGGGAACCATCAGCGGAGGTAAAGAAATCAGGCCACGGGCTGTAGCGACAACAGAGTGAGCCCTTTGCCGAGGCCCTGGGGCTCTGGGATAGCTCCCTGGAAAGGAGGAGACGGGTTGGGAGTGGAGAAAAGGAAAAAGAAGCAGACCTGGCACTGGGCCCTTCATGTCCCCCAAGGCAACCCTGGCGACTCTGCGGATGTTTTGGTTGCCACCACTGGGTGCCTGGGGAAGGTGTATGCTGTTGCCGTGTAGTGGGTAGGGGCTGGGGATGCTGCTGGTATCCTACCATGCACAGGACAGCCCCTCGCAACAAAGAATTACTCAGCCCCAAATGTTGATAGTGCCATAGGTAAAAAAAAAGTTATTGGCTCCATTTTGCAGATGAGAAAACTGAGGCTCAGAGCTAAAATGACCTGAAGTGAGCTGACTGACTCCTGTCTCACCCCTGAGAGCCAGGTGTCCGTGGGAACGTGCAGTTGGAAGCATTCGACACAGCTGAGCATGGATGGGAGGAAATGAAGGTCTAAGAGGACAGGGGAAGGGGTGACATTACCTGTTACTGGCAGGGCTGGTGGCAGAAGTCCAGGCTGTGGTCCTCGTGGTGCTGCTGGTGGTGGATGGGGTCGAAGCTGTGAGAGACGACAGTGAGGGGGGCACTCCTATCTGTTTGCCCCACAGTCCAGGTATCCCCCTTCTAGCCCCCAACCCTGGGTGGCAGGGGCCCACACATGGCCCTGGACCAAGCACCCTGTGTCCTGCAAATGCATGGAGGTGTTGCACTGAGTTGTACTGGATTTCCTTCACAGTGAAGTGCCGCTCAGGGAAAGTGGCTTAGATGAGGTGTCACACTGTCATCTGTGTATGGGATATATCCTACAGTGGCAGTCCCCAACCTTTTTGGCGCCAGGGACAGGTTTTGTGAAAGACAACTTTTCCATGGACAGGGTGGAGAGAGGGCAGGGGGAGGGCTGCGGGTGTGGGGAGGAGAAGACAGGGGACGGAGCTCAGGCAGTAGTAATGCAACAGGAGCCAGGCTTCCCTTGCTCACCCAGCTGCTCACCTCCTGCTGTGCAGCCCTGTTCCTAGTCCACAGCCAGAGCACTGGGGACCCCTGAACTATAGTCTCTGTTAATTTTGTTTTTTAACATGTCATGCACTTAAAACCTGTAATACCTCCCACCTCCCTCCCAACCCTTTTTGTCTCCCCTGGACTAATTCCTGCTCATCCAACCAGGCCCATGTAGTGTCACCTCCTCTGGGGAGCTCTCTGGGAGAATCCATATCCCTGGCCTCCACCAGCAACCTGGGCCCTCCCTTCACTGGGCCCCGCTCCACCATGCTCTGTTATGCCACCTGCCATGCTGCATCATAACCCTTTACACATCTGTCTTGCAGGCTGGACATCCAGCATAGGATGGGGTCTCAGGTTTTTGAGTCCCCTTCCAGAGCCTAGCCCTATGCCCTACATGGAAAGGGCAATGAGCCCAGTGTGGGGCAGAGACTGACGGAACAGCTGATCTGGTCCAACAGGCATCCAGCTGACCAAACAGCTGGGCAGGCTGGGCAGCAGGACAGGGGTCTGAGGAGGTGCTTTCACCCCTGACTATCACAGAGGAATGCAGGGGAGCTTTGCAACTCTGACATATTTAGGAGGCATACCCAAGGGCCTCATGGTTAGGGGTAACCTCAAGCTTCCTACTCTGAGGCTTAAGGACCTTCAAGCTTTAGGGTAGGGGCAGGTCCCAGGCAAAGGCCCAGACCTTCTGAGCCATCAGCCACTACACCACCCAGCTTCACCCCTGAAGTCTCATATCTGTATCACTGTGGCTGTCTCTGGTCTGTCCACATTTCTTGACCCCCAACTAGCTACCTGTGACCCCAGCACAGCCCTTTGAGAGAAGGTTGGGGGTTGGGGTCAGGAGTAGAAATGCCCTGGAACGGACCAATAAGCCAGCCTTGCTCAGGCCTGGGGAAGCTTAATGATCATTACAAATCAGTGGAGGAGCCCCAGTAGTAACAACAAAAATGCTCAGAGAAATGTGTGTGTTGGAGAAGGAAGAACTGACTGGAGGCCAGCAGCTCTGAGTTCCAGTGGTTCTGCCCTTACCAGCTAGTGACCCTGGGCAAGGGGTCCCAGTGTTCAGATACGAGAGGGTTGAAGGAGATGACTTTCAGGGTCCTTTCCAGCACGAGTATCTTATGACTCAGGGAACCTGAGAAGCACACATAAGAAGGGAAAGAACTCACCCTGAGACACCACCAGATGGATGGTTCTCAGAAAAATGATCCAGGAAGATTCATAGGTTCCACACGCATAGAACCCCGAGTCCTTCATCCCGAGCTTAGTCATGGTGACCACGAAGTTGTCCGATCTGGGGTTATCCTGGATGAAATATTGAGGCTTCCAAGACACTGTCCTGAGACTAGGGTGGGCAACTAGTATGGTACAAATAGACTCTGATATTCTTCTGCACCAGACTTTTGTCTTCAAACGTTTCTGGGCTGGGTACAAGCATCTCACAGAGATGGTCTCACCCTCCAGTTTCTGCAGCAATTCTGGCTGCTGTTCCGAGGAGCCTGAGAATAAACCCTCAGGTCAGGGAGCCCCCAGCTACCAGCACAGAGCTGTGAGATGGGACCTCCCTCCTCGGGAAGTCTTCTCTGTGTCCACACTCAGAATGTGCCCCCGCACCGGCCCCGGCCCCTTCCTCCACCTACCCCCTTCATGCCCACTGCACTTAGCCGTCCCTCCTCCTCTTGCCCCGTTCCCTCTGCCCCTCACCTGAGGCCAGGAGCACCAGCAGGACAAGTGGCAGCAGCTGTGTGGCCTCCCAGGCCATGGCACTCTTCTTGAGCTGGGGTGAGAGCAGGGAAGCCCCTTGGGAGGGGGAGACAGAGCTGGGTGGGATTCAGTGCTGCCACCCCAGCCTGTCTGGGAAGAAGAGCTGAGGAAGACACAGGCCTCCAGTGGGGAAGTGGGGGCCTGAGAGGAGGGAGAGACCTTGGCCTGTGGGCGAGACCCTCCCCCTCCCGTGCTGTATCTGGGCCTGGGTGGAGGCTCTCTCAAGACCAACACTGTCAGGCTGTCTCCCTCTCCCCGGGGTGGGGTGATTTGTGAAAGCCCAGAAGGAAACCATGGTGAAATAAGAATCCTTTTCTCCTCCCTCCTGCTCTCCTCTAACCTACCACTTCCTTCCCGGCCTCAGCTTTCTCTTCCCCACCCGAGAAAAGGAGGGGCTGAAGGTGGGTGACAGAGTCAGGGGACCCTCTGAGCATCCCCAGCCGTCAGAGGCTTCCTGCCCAGGCCTGCTGGGAATTGGAAAGTCCTGTGAGGACTGCAGGGGAGCAGGAGAAGGAGATGGAGAGTCATTTCCAGAGCTGGAGATGCAGGGAAGGCCCCCGGCAAGGATGGGAGAGAGCAAAGCAGACTGTGGGGGAGAGGGGGAGGTGGGTGCAGGAGGCGAGGAGGAGGAGGGGGGAGAAAGGGAGCCCCTGCCCCTGTGTCCCCAGCTCCCAGCCTGCCGTCATCACTGCTCCATAAGCATTTGTTGAAAGACCACACTAATCGAGCACACTTAAAAATAATTTGTGCTTTGCATCCCTGTGGCTGATAGGGAATATAGTCAATAATACTGTAATAGCTATGTATGGTGCCGGGTAGGTACTGGAAATATTGGGGAGCGGGGGGAATCACTATGTAAAGTATGTGATTGTCTAACCACTGTGCTGTACACCTGAAACCAATACAAAATAACACTGAAAGTAACCTGTAATTGAAAAATTAAAATTAAAATAAAAAAGAATTTGTCATTAAATGAGCTACAGAAAAATAATTGTCACAGGTTGCTTATAGTTAAGAGTCAAACAACAAAGTGAAGAGAAAACCTTGTAAGCATGCAGTGTGGCAGGTTGGGTTTGAAGGGAGCAGACTCCCGAGGGGGAGATTAGCACAGGGGGTTGAAAGTGCCAGGGACCAGCCTGGGGAAGACAAGGGCAGAAAGCAGCCCTTGGGCAACAGGAAGCTCAGGCCACCCTTGGAGGCACTTCTGAAGACAGGCCGCCCTTTGGGACTTACCCGGATGGCAGGGAGTGCCAGGACCTTAGTCCCTCACATCGTGGTCAGGGACGGTGGGCTGCCAGGGGGCTGGGGGGTCTGCCTTTGAGAGGAGACTGCTTCCAACACTGGGGCAAGAAGTCTATCAGCTCTGAAGGAGAAGCGGGATGGCCCAGCTGACCGTCTACCAACTCAGTTTGATAAGAAGTGAAAACCAGTTTGGAGCCATTCGGAGAACTGTGAAGCTCAGGCTTGTTTGCTGGCCTCATAGTGGAAGGTATCAGGTCCACCTGCCACTCCTCAGCTCAAACATCCCAGGGTGCTGGGTTTTCTTTGTTCTTACCTTTCGTCACTGCAGGACATCCTTCACAGGCGAGCTCCGGCTCTTGCTCGGCCTGTTGCTCAGGAAGCTTGGTTGTCTCACCCACCAAAGGCAGTGTCAGCCTTGACCTGTCTGAAACCCTCACCCTCCCTGCACCTCCCTGCTAGGATCTAGGTCTCCCTAGAGCTCTGGGGACAAGGGTGAGAAGAGAAAGAAGGAAATGAAATCCTAGGATTTGGGGAGAAATGTCCCAAAAGCCTAGAGTCCAAAGAGGCCACCAAGCCCATAGCAGTTCTCTAAAAAATGAAGAATACGACACAATGTTTTAACTTAAAAGGAATTTGAAGACCAGCAATCACCAGGCACTCAGTCGTCTAAAGTTCACATTCTTTTGTTTTATTCTGAAAAGTCTCGAGGTAGGAATTAGTGTCCTCTTTCACAGGAGAGGAAAAATGAGGCCCACCAGGGGTAGTGGCTTGCACAGGGTCACACAGGAGCGGTGGGCAGCCTGGGCCCCCGGGGCCCTGGCCTCAGCCCTCTGCAGCGCTCTCCCAGGGGCGCCCCACTCACACGGGAAGCAGGGCAGTCATGCTGGTTGCAGGGTCAAGATGGAGCTGAGCTCTCAGGGACCCGTTTTCTTTCAGGTGAGTTAAACCTGCTGCCAGTTACTGCCAGATGGTGGCCACACCTTCCTGATAAGGAGGACAGATGTCAGTGTGTGTGTGTGTGTGTGTGTGTGTGTGTGTGTGCACGCATGTGTGCACACACATGTGTACCAGACACGGGCCAGGCAGTTCCTCAGTCTGAGTCTGCCTGCTAGTGCCCTCTCCTGGACATGGGGAAGAGGTGCCTCCTCCCTAAGGTCCCATAGGAGTACCCCCTGCCCCCTCCTCTCTCCCCAAATCATCTTGGAGTGGCCCTACTAAGGCTCTGGCTGCGTCTCCTGCCTCTGGCACATGCTATCCCACTTGGGAGGTCCCTGACCCAGGGCAGAGAGTAGAGATGCCACATTTATCCCCAGGTGCTTTCTCAGTTACTCCAGGCTGGTGGCCCCCCGCTCTTCGGGGGATGAATGCAGCCCATATTCTCCAGCTTTCCCTGCAGAAGACGCCAAGCCTGAGCTCAGGAGCCTGTGAGGCAGGGGCAGACGACTCAGGCAATTGGGCCCAGGTTCCTGGGCTCTATCTGCCCAGCCTCACCCCACCCCTACCAGGCAGCCCTCCAGGCTGTCTTCAGCTCTGAGTTGTCTGCTGTGTCACAGTGGCTCCTCTCTTCCCAGGAGAAAACGAGACTCTGAAGTTGGGGGGGGTGCCAATCCCCTTTTCTCTGAGCTGCAGTCCCCTGTTCAGTGGAACCTGGAGGTCCCTCAGTCTCCTGCAAGAGCTCAGACCTGGAGTCCAGGTGTAGGAACTGGAAGAGACAGCCTGAGTTCAGCCTCTGAACCCCAGTCTGGGGACAGGCTGGTCCTGCTGCTGAGGAGGGGGCTCTCAGCTGCCCATCACAGCTGTAACAGGAGGATCTGGCCAGCAGGTGGCAGCAGTGAGAGGGCAGGCTCTGCTGGCTCCCAGGACTTGAGGGACAAGCAGCCAAAGTCAGGGCAGGGCACTATCAGAAGTGCGTCAGAGGGACACATGACTCAGGGGATGCAGGCTTGGACAGCTCTGAGGTCCCCTGCTGCTGATGCCTCTGGGGACCCCCAGTTCGTATTCACTGTTCCTTCTCCTCCAGGGCCAGCCGTTGGAACACCGGCTGCCTCTGAAACTCTTCCCTAAGTTCATGGGGAAGCTTGAGGGGAGCAGAAGGAAGCTGAGGACATAGGGTCCCGGTGGAGAGAGGACAGCTCTCCACCCCACCCCACTCGCCCTCCCCTCAGCCTGACAGCAGGGGTTCTGAGCCAATGGGAGCTGAGGCTCTGTCTGTAAACAGCACCACCCAGTTGGGTCCCTGTCAGCTGTGGCTCTAAGCAGAATCCCCTCAGTGGCGTCCCCCGGGACCTGCTGCATGGTGCCCGCCACTCTGGGCCTCTCCCCAGGCTCCTGGCAGCCCAGGGGCACTGAGCAGGTGAAGTGCAGCCTCGGGTCAGGGAAGGCTTGAGCCCAGCGTTGCATACGTCCTCACCCCCCCACCTGGCTCCAATCCAGACAGGCCCTCATCTGCACTCCTCTTACAGCCTCCTGAGGTCCCTCTGGGAGAAGCTCCCCCACTCTGTAAGTGGCCTTAAACCAAGCAGGCTTCCAAGGAGGCTCCGGTCTTCCAGGTGGATCCCTCCAGGGTCGAACAGGGTCCCTGCATATGCTGTAGCCTGTGAGGACCAGGGAGAGAGCTGAAGAAGGGTGGGATCCTACTCACCATGCCCTGTGCTCCTGGGCTAGCGCAGCCCGTCTCCTGGCCGTGCCTCCCTGCCCACCAGGTCAGCCCCAGGGTAATGCTGCACCTGCCTGCCCACCCTCCTCCCTCACCTGGGCGCCTCACAGTCCTCCTGGCTGGACACAGGTGAGGATATACCGCCTGGGGACCATCCACACTCAGGCGCTGTGGAAAGTGTGTCAAGCCCCCAGGGCTCTGCCCTCAGGAGCCTGGGAGGACGGGCTCTACTCACTTCCCATGTGTCTCTTCTTCCAGAGCCCATAGGCCACGATCACCGTCACAGGCACCAAGAGGAAGGCCAGCACCCCCACGAGCACAATGGGGTTGGAGTCCTGGTGCCTGAGAAGGCGGGACAGAGTGGGGAGGTGAGTACCAGGTTCCCCCACCTCGACCCACGTCTTTCTGCACACCACACGCGAGGACTCAGAAGAGGGGAAACCCTGATGGCCCCGCAGGGAGTGATGGTCTCTCTTTCTTGAGGACTCAGCTGTGGGAGAAGGAAGTGAGGCACTCAGAGCTCAGGGGAGGACATCGACAGATGGAGGGGAGCACCCCTCCTCTATTCCCCCAAATCTGCTCATTGTTGAAGACTGAGACTCTAAGAGACCCCCATTTGTGACAGAAAAGACAAAAGTCCTTATTCTGTCACAGTGATAGAGGATGTCTCTTAGCACCTTGGTCCTCTGTAACAGATGCCGTAGGTGTCCTGCCTGTATCCCTTGCCTGTATCACTTCCATGTGTACCTGACGTCAGCACCTCCATTCATGTGTGTGTGTGTGTGTGTGTGTGTGTGTGTGTGTGTGTGTGTATTTCTTCTTTTTGGCCTGAGGACTTTCTTTTGTCACTGGCCACACATGGCTGGTGGCCCTCTACCGATGAACAACAGGAGTGGCTATATAAATACCCCAGCTCTCTTGCCATTCAGGTGGTTGCTTGACACTGGAGCCCAGAGTTCCCCATTGGGGCTGCATTCTCACCGCCTGCAGTGGCAGTGCCTGGGTTAAGCGCTCTATCAGCTGCCTTCCTTCCTCTCCCTGTCTCCCTTCTTCATGCTCTCCCTGTGTTCCAAATATGACACAAATCTTGTTCTCAGAGCCTGCTTCTGGCAGAACCCAAAAGAAAACATCCTCCATTCCCCATTTTCCAGGCCACCACCCTGTCTTGTCCCTACCCTCTCCTCTCCATCCACAAACCCTTGTGCTGACCCCTCCCCTGCCCTTATGGGAAGGTGTAGGCAAAAGGGGAAGGTCTGCTATAACGTTTGCATCTTGAGGCACTGAGAACTGCTGCCTGCCTGGTAAAATGTCTTTCAGCCCCCAGACCCATGGGTACCTGATGGGGGATAATTTGTTGAGGAGAGATCTGCTGGTGTGGCATGTTCTCGTGGTCGGTGATCTGGTGTGCAGGTGGCCAGCCTTAGTGGAGATGGACACAAGGCCAACTGAAGAGGTTCTGGCATTGCCAGGAGGTGCAGTCACAGTCTGGAGCCCCTTGGCCCTTCTGGGCCCCAGGGTGGAGGGGCTGGTGAAGCTGTAGCCTGCCATGGAGCTCAGTCGGATGGTCTCTGAGGCAGTGGAGGGCAAAAGTCTGTCCAAGGAGAGGACTCCAGGTGTGAACATCCTCATACTGGTGGTGAAAGGGGCATCAGAGCCTGAGGTGGGGGCTCGGCCCGTTGAGATGACATTTTTACCCTTGAGGATGTTGGCCAGCTGTGTAAGAGGAGTATTTCTCTCGGTTGTGGGGACTGAGGGACCAGAGAGGGAGGAACATTAGAGTGAATTAGGGGCCTAGGTGCTGGGAACAGATCCTGGCAACCCACCTGGCTGTCTAGATGCCGGGGTGGGGCCTGTCCTCATCTCCCCTCCTGAACTGAGACCTACAATTCTGCTCTGCTGAGGGACCAGGTGTGCATTTGTTCAGAGGGTGATGTCAGGAAGAAGAAGTAGGCACAGTAAAGAAGGAAGAGACCTTCACAATTTCTTTAGCCTTGCCCGCCAGGCCTCCTGGGCCCAGAGTTGGGCCAACTCTTTTGTTGGGCCACATCCCCAACTCTTTTGTCACTTCTGGACCCTCCTCATTTCGGTGGGTCAAAGAGATTTCTCTACTGTGATGCTGGAGTGAGGTTTTTCCAGTTACTCCATAATTAATGACGAGGGTCCAGAGATGAGGACAAAGAAGCATCAAGGGCCTAGATTCCAAAGAATGCCACAAGCAGCAGGGTCAGACACCTTCCTCGGGGGTTTTCTAAGAGATACCAGCCCTGCTACCCTCATCCATCAGCCCAGGCCTTTACCACTCCATTTTCTAGAAAGAAGGCTGCTGTTTGGAAGGTCAAGGATAAGGAGTTGTAATTCTGAGGTCCAAACTAGGGGGCAGTGTTGGGTCTTTCTCTGCTGGGAACAAGAAAACTGGAGAGAGATGGCAGGGGGTTGGAGAAGGCTGCTGCATCCCTTGACTGTGCATGGCAAGGATCCATTCCTGAGGGCCATGGGTCACCATGGAAGGAGCCCTTTTTTCTGGACAAGGAATCCCAGAACAAGTGGCATTGCTGAGGGTGGGCATGGGGCTGACCTGGAGCCAGATCTCCCACATCATCATCCTACTGAGCAGGGGGCAGGACCAAAGGACTCTTCAAAGAGCTCACACATAGGCACCATGGGAGAGCCATTTAGACACCCTCTTCATAGAGGACCTCACAGGGCTGGGCAGAAAAGAAGTGACACCCAACACAAAGAGAACTCTAACAAGGGTCGGTGAAGCCACACAGCCTTCATTCCTGCCCCAGTACACCAAGGAGATGGGGGGAAGGGGAAACGAGGAAAAGGTGACTAAGAGAAACCCACTTCCCCGCCTCCAGTGATGAAGGGGAAGGAGTTAGGAGCGGGCTACTCCTCTTTCCCATTTCAGGTGCCTTGGGCCATGAAACCTGGTCTTCAAGGAGGAGTAAAACAGAGCATGTATTGCTTGATGATTCTAGGTTTTAATTGGGCTGAGGATTTTTCATTTTCTAGTAAATGGAAAGATCTGCAAGTTTGGAATCTGCCCGAATTGTCATTAAGAGATGCAAAGTGAGATTGGACAATGGGAGTGTACAATGCCAAATTCATGCTGGTGTCCCTACAAGTTAAAACTTCAGTAAACTGGTTTCAACCACTTCCCTGGGACTAAATTAGAGGTGGAGAGTGGAGGAAGGACATTGAGCTCCGCATCTTAGAGAGAGCAGTTGGCCTCGTTCAGACCCAACAGAAGACAGGGGATGCAGTTGGGTTGGGGGAACAGAGAAGAATGGGTAATGAACTTCAGAACCATTAGCTCCTTTTCCCAGGCTCTTTCGCTGGCCATTCACCCTTTCATATCCATAAGCACGGGAGGACCTTGGGGCTAGGTTCTTGGCCTTCTCTTCTTTTTCTACACTCAACGGAGAGCTTATATCTTCTTGAATTCTTAAGAACTTTATCAAGATATAATTTACATCTCTGATAACACATCCATTTACAGTGTCAAATTAAATGATTTTTAGTAAACTCACAGAGTCACATCGCCATCACCACAGTCAAGTTTAGAATACTTTCATCATCTCAGAAAGAAACTCCTCACCCGTTTCCCATTACCCCTCAACCCTAAGCATTCATTAATCTACTTTCTGTCTCTACAGATTTCTGTAATACCCTTGACTTTAAACTGTCTTTATAGAGATATTTTCAATATATCCCCAGCTCTGATCTCTCACCCGAGCTTCAGGCTGATACATCAACTGCCTGCTTCCTTTCTCCATGTGAGGCTCTAGGAGGTATCTTAAAGGTAACATGATAAAATAGAACTCTTCGTTTTTCTCCTCCAAAATGTCTCCTCTGTCAGATCTACCCTACCCAGTCCATGGTACCACCATCCACCTTGCTGATGAAATGGCACACTTTGAGGTCATCCTTGATGTTTTGCTTTTGCTCACCTCCCACATGAGCAAATCCAGTCTTACTTCAAGGACGTACAGGGAGGGCAGGAGTCTGACCATCATAAATTGGAGCCCCTCCACTTTTTTCCACCTCCAGGGACCACATCCTATTCCAAGACACTGTCATTTCCAGCCAGAATGCCCACAGTTTTTCTCTGCCCATTCGCTTACCCCTCCATGATCTTCTACACAGCAGCCATTAATGTCTTAAAGATAAGTCAGAACATATCCCAGTAAGCTCTACAATAACTATTATACTTAGAATAAACATCAAACTCCTTTATCGTGGACTTTAGGGCTGCTGTTTGACTCTCCAACCTCATCTCCTGTTGTTCTGCCCCACACTCAGTATGGACAACCACACAGGCCTGCTTTATACAGCCCTAGTTCCTCACCACAGGGCCTTTGCACATGCATTTCTCCCCACCTGGAATGAACTTTGAAGTACCTACGTTTCAACAGAGCTAGAAAGCTCTCATCACTTAGGACTCTGCTTGATAACATCTGCTCAAGGAGGCCTTCTCTGAACCCTGGCACTTCAGCAGCTCCCCCTGCCACTGAGTTACTTTCTAGTCTATTGCACTGTTTTATTTGCTTAAGAACATCAATTGTCATCTGCAGTTATTGTCTGATGATCTGCTGTTGCCCGTCATCTCCCCTAAGGCAGAACTGTGTCTGTTTTTGCTCATCACTGTATCCTCAGGGTCTAGAATATTGGCTGGCACATAATCAGGGCTCAATGAACATATATTAAACAGAAGACTGAAGAAAACAAAGCAGAGAGTCCTGAGTTCAAATCTCACTGTTGCCACTTGCTAGCTCTGTTATCTTGGACAAGGTCAGAGGCACATAGGTGGCTTTAGACCTCATTTTCTTCATCTACAAAGTGGTGACAATAATGTTCATGAAGCAGCCTGTGAAAGCCCCACTGTGCAACATGCCCACTGAAGGATTATTATTCTCAGTATATGCGATGTTAGTGGAGTGCAGGGCAGGAAGGACACCCCCCACCATCCCAGTGCCCCAGCAGGCCTGCTCACCTGGAGACACTTCCAGCTGGAAGCCCGTCAGAGGGTAGAGGGTTCCGGAGCTGTTGCGCATGCACCAGTAGCGGCCTGAGTCCTGGCGCCTGAGGGCCACCATGGTGATGTTGACCACCTTGGCCTGGGTATCGTCCTGCAGCAAGAAGCGCGGCCCCTGCACCCAGACCCGGGTAAACCCAGGCTCACACTTCTTCTTCCGGATTTTGCACCAAACCTTTCCCTCCACGTGTTTTTTGCGGCTCTTGTAGGAGCACTGCACAGACAGGGTCTCCCCTTCGTAATGATGCACTTTGGAGTACACGCTCTCGGCCGGAGCACCTGCGGAGACACGCCATGTTGAGCAAGGTCTGGCAAGAGAGGAAGAGGGTGACATCTTGAAACTTGAAACTCATGGTGAATGGAGAGGAGGTGGATATCGCCCTGCGGACATGAGATTCACAGTCTGAGGGAGAAACAGCCCTACTCAGAGGGAGCTGCCCCAGTCTGAGCGGGGAGAGGCAGGCCCCTTTCTTAATGGCATTTTCTAGTCTGATGGGAACATGACAAGCCCCATCTTCAGAGTCTCATGGGCAAGACCCAGGACTTGACCTCAATAAGACAGACACACAAATGCAAACACAGGTCTTTAAGTTATGACATTCCAGAGCACAAATAATCTAAGTAGGTAAGAAGATCTGATCTTAATTTTAAAACATTAAGAGTAATCATTGATTTTACAAATAGGTTCACCATAGATATATTTTAAATAGCAAGTTGCATTGGCTCATTTAGGTGGTGTTTAATTTTAAAATATCCTAGCTACATAAAACCCATAGGTTGAATATGCCCCAAAGTGCACAGAAACTTTCATCAGAGCGCAAGCCAAAGAATTCTACAATTATCCACTGTTCATTTCCAACACATTGCATTTTATGCCTAGGAGTAAGATGGATGTGGTCTGTGCACTTTATGATCCACAGTCTGGCAGGGAGAGAGTAGAACTAGGTCAGGGGTGGTTGAATCAGGGGACATGGGAGAGAGAGAGGTGGGGGGGGTCCCTTGACCCCTCTGCCTATGGTGAGCTCAGCACTTGCTCCCTAACACACTAGAGTCTTCTGCAAACAAGCAGTACACACAAGTTACTCCCCTGTAAGACAGAACAGAACACACATTTTGGAGTCTAAATAAACACGGGTTAAAACTCTGATTCTACCACATGAACAGATCAGGTTGGCTATGAGAACTATACCCCAGTACAGTGCCTTGAATATAGTAGGTGCTCAATGCATACTTCCTTTTCCCAAATGCAGGTAGCTCCAGACTTCTGTACTAGAGCCCAGAGCTGATAACCAAGGGCCTGGCACCTAAGAGATCTGCCTCAGTTTCCAACCCAGCTGCCACTGTAGTTGAGGCTTGGAGTAGGGAAACACCCTCTCTGAGTGAGCATCACTTTACTAAACTAAATAGGATGATCCAGCTCAGTTATTCGGAGGGTGGGAGGTTTGGGGGGACCCCAGGATGGCACAGGACAGGAGACACTCTTCTGCCCTGGCACAGAGAGGGGTATATCTGGGAGAGGTGCATGGGTGGGGTGACCTTGGAAAAGGGTCTCCGGGGTACTGTGTTCATTCCCGTCCACCACCCAGCCCCTCACAGGTGGTGAGGAGTACGTTTTGCCAACCTCCACCATGCCCAGAGCTGATCAGGAAGTGGTAACTTGGTTGCCATGGCAGCGAAGGAGGCAGGATTGGGTGACCCCCTCCCCCTTTGAAGAACATTCGTGTCTGTGGGGTTGGAGAGGACTTCAGGGGTTGCTTCCACTCTGAACAGGGGGTAGAGTGGCATCAGCATTCTGAGAAAAAGCAAGTTCAAAGCACGCACACATGATGCAATGATTCCTGTAACAACAAACGGGCCTTCCTGACAGAGGCCAAGGGAAGAGGTTTTTTGTGTGAGGAACTCGAGCGTCTCTCGTCAGAGGTCATGAGGAAGCCACGCAGAGATGGTCCAGAGCTCTGTGAGACCTCGGGGAGCTTTGCCTGGGGCCAGGTATTAGGATGGAAGCTTCTCATTGGTCTCTGGTAAGGAGCTGCTTAGGCCAACCCAAGCTCCTCCTCCCCCTCCTCCAACTCCACAAAATATTAAACAAGATCATTGGGCAAGAAATAGCCCTTTGGGAGGGTCCAGAAAAGGCCATATGCCCCCGCCTGCCCCCAGCCAGCCCACCCACCTGCTCACCTGAAACGCAGCCCTGGAGCCACAGGAGGAAGAGCAGCAGTAACAACGTGGGGGCCATGGCTCCATCCAACTGGGACAGTCGCAGGCCAGCAGGGGGCCAGGACGCCCCCCAGATCCAAGGTCGGGGCCCCAAGCCCGTGCAGTCTGGACCCCTTGGGTCTGCCAGGGGAGAATCTGAACTTGTAAAAGTGAAGTTGCCCATTTAGGGAAGTGAGAAAGTCACGGGACCCACTGTGAACGGCAGACCGCAGGAGCCCGCAGACCCTACGGGAGGGCGGTGCCGGGTACTGCTTCCGCCCTCTTCCTCGAAACTTCAGGCAGGTGTGGCTGCTCCACCCAGTCTGGGCCCCGCAGCCCAGGGAGGGTTCACGGGGTCTGAAGACTTCCCACGCTGTCTAGATTCTCTCCTGGAAAGTGGTCCAAAAAGTGTGCCTCCTGTTCTGAGACAGGGCTCCATCTAGGTGCTGGTGTGAAGATTCTAGAACCTCAGGTACAGACTTCCCTGGAATGCTCTGGGATTGGACATCCCGAGTAGGGGCTGTGTGGCCAGGGAGAGGCATCTTGGATATCACATTTTTCACAAACACACATTCAAAGGAGTTTCTTAAAAACTCACATTCATTCACTCATTCATTCATTCATTCATTCATCCTTTACTGAATGCATTCATTCTGGCTCTCTCTCACCCTTACACACACACACACAGACTCCTGGCTGGTCAGAACTGTCACTCCTGCTCACACTTACAAACAACCCCCTACATGCTCAAACACAATCTTATTTCTGTCAGTTAGGGTGATAGGAAAAAAAGATACAAATTGTCAAACTTAGAGCAAAGGTTTGGGTTCAGGGAGGGGCTTCTGTGCTTTCACACGTGGAGGCACGTGCACACACATTCACACACAGAGACACAAACTCACACACAACACACACACACACACACACACACACAAACTGTCTCTCCTTTTTGCTGCTAACGTGCCTCCCTAGCTCTATCCTTCTCACTACCTGTGCTACTGACCTGCCTACTCACCCACCAGCTCTCAGGAGACTCCTGCTGCCTCTTACAGGCTTCCTGAAGCAAGACCAGATCCTCCCCTCCCCCACCTCTTCCCCAGAAACCACACCCCCAGCCCCTTCTTCCCCCTGCTCTGGCCCCCAGCCAGCACCCAGGCAAGCCCACTCGACTTCCTCTCGCTCAACCCTATCTCGCCTATACAGCCGCTGGGCTCCAGCTAAAATGACCCAGCATTTGGCCCAAGACCCCACCCTTCACGTAGTCCCCAGAGCTGAGAATCAGGATGCCCTACTGACAGCCAGGAGCTGTGTCATCAGCTCCTTTGCGGTGTGGGGACCTAGTGGAGCCCCCGACGATGTGTGTTCCCCCTATTCACCTATGCCAACTTTCTCCTGCGCTGGTGGGACTCAGTAAGAAGTCCTCATGTTCGCATGGCCAGTCTTAAACTGAGTTTGAATCTCAAAGTCCCAAACCAAGGAAGTTTTATCTTTGCTGACCCAAAATGTTTAGTCTCTTAACTTACTCGTTTATTTGTTCCTCAATCTGATATAATTTGTCCGTTCTTACAATCTAATATGCCACGGGTGTGCTAGGCTTGGGGGTAAAGGAATGAGATCCAGTTGTCACTCCAGACCTCTCAGCTCCCAGAAGACCTATCCTGCTTTCCTCATCCACCCTCCCTTTTTCAACACTGCTGCCCCAGTCCTCAGATCCCGAGTTCAGAGGCCATCTCGCCTCCCAACACACATGGTATCTTCCATCCTTCCTTTCCTCCATCAGCACAGTGAATGACTTCAGGAGTGGGGATGTCAATGACCCCTGGCAGGGACTCCACATACCTGGAATCAACATTGCTTTTAAAGCCCTGGTATGTGACCTGGCTGGTGTGGCTCAGTGGATTAAGTGCCAGTCTGTGAACCAAAGGGTCACCAGTTCAATTCCCAGTCAGGGCACATGCCTGGGTTGTAGGCCAGGTCCCCAGTAGGGGGTGTGTGAGAGGCAACCACACACTGATGTTTCTCTCCCTCCCTTTCTCTCTCCCTAAAAGTAATAAATAAAATACTTTTTTAAAAAAGCCTTGGAGTGTGCCCACATTGAGTGAGGCATTGTGAAAAGTGCCCTAGAAGCACCCTCTCTGTCACAGAGTGTCGATGAGGGTATGAAAACCCAAACCCTCTCATTCCTCTGACCAAGGTGGTATAAACTGGAGTCAGTGTTCCTTGAAGGAAATTTGGAAGAATTTATCAAAATCTCTAAAAATGTGTATATGTTAGGCTTTTTTAACAAAATAATTTAATACAGCATACTGTTCTGTTTCTACAGGGTGGGGCAAAAGTAGGCTTACATTTGTGAATATGCAAAACACAGTTTATTATTGTATTATTATTTATTAATTATTATATTATTTTCCATACAAGCAACTATAAACCTACTTTTAACCCTGTGTTTCCATTTAAAGAATTAAAACCTGATTTACACAGAATAAAATTCATTCTTTTCAGTGGGAAGTTCTGGGAATTTCACACATCCATAGGGATTTGTAACCACCACAACAATCAAGATGTAGAAACATTCCATTACCTCTAAAGCTTCCTCCTGTCCCTTGTCAGCCACCCCCTCACTCCACCCTCAGTCCCCAGCAAACAGTGACCTGTTCTTTTTCCCGTCTTTAGTTTTGTCTTTTCTAGATGTTACAAAAATGTAATGATACAGTATGGCTTCTTTCACTTAGTGTAATGCATTTGAGATGTGTGTTGGGTATTTTAGTAGTTTGTTCCTCTCTATTGCAAAGTAGGATCCCGTTGTATGGATGTACCACAGCTTGTTTACCCACATCCCAGCTGAACCTGTCATTCAGGTTGGTGTCCAGTTTGGGTTATTTCAGATAAAACCACTACAAATATTTGTACACAGGTTTTTGTATGAACTTAAGTTTATGTTTCACTGGGTAAACACCTAGGGTGAGATTTCTGGGTTACATGGCAAGATCACGTTTAATTTCTCAAAAACTGACAAGTTGCTTCCCAGTGTGGCTGCACCATTCTGTGCTTCTCCCAGTGATGTTCCACTTGTTCTCTATTCTTGGTAGCACTTTGATGTTGTCAGGTGTTGACCACTCCCATTCTAGTAGGTGTGTGGTCGTAATCAATGTGGCTTTATTTTGCATTTCTCTAAGAAGACCGAACATCTTTTATTGTGCTTATTTGCTATCAATATATCTTCTCTAAGATAGCGTCTGTTCAAATCTTCTCATTTTTGTTTTCTTATTATTGAAGTTTGTGCTCTTTATATATCCTGATGTATCCTTTTTTTCTTTTAATCCTCACCCAGGATATGTTTTTTATTGATTTTAGAGAGAGAGGGAGGGAGGGAGAGAGAGAAACACCAATTCAAGAGAAATGTCGATCAGTTGCCTCCCACACGTGCCCCAGCTGGGATGGAGCCCGCAACCCTTTGGTGTGTGGGATGACGCTCCCTCCACCTGAGCCACTGGCCAGGGCTATTCTGGTGTATTCTTTCATTAAATACGTGCATTACAAATATTTTTCCCAATCTGTTGTCTGTCCTTTTACTAGTAGTATATTTCAGAAGCAAAAGTTTTTAATTTTGATATAGTGCAATATACCATTTTTTGGCTCATACTTTTCATGTCACATCTAAGAAATTTTTGCTTAACCCAAGGTCACAAAGATTTATTTAACAGTCTTACTGAGATATGATTCACATAATATAAAATTGACTCATTTAAACTGCATGATTCAGTGGTGTTTAGCATAATCACCGAGTTGTACAACCAAAACCCAAATCTACAACATTTTCTCCACTCCAACGTGGAACTCCATATCCCCACGTCCATCAGCAGTCAAACCCTGGACTGGTTTCCTGTTACTACACAGTGAGGGGTTTAAAACAACACCAACTTATTTTTTCACAGTTCTGGAGGCCAGAAGTTTGAAATAGTATCGCTGGGCCAGGATGAAGGGGTTGGCAGGGCTGCAGTTCCTCCGGTGACTCTGGGGAAGAATTTGTGCCTCTTCCAGCTTATGGCAGTGGGTGCTGACACTCCATGGCTTGTGCCTTTGTCACTGCAGTCTTCAAGGCCAGCATCTCCAAAGTCTTTCTGCTCCATCTTCACATCACCTTCTCTTCTGCGCATTCACATCTCTCTCAGCCTTTGTCTTATGAGGAAACGTGGGATTGCATTTAGTGCCCAGGCCCATAATCCAGGATAGCCTCCCCATCTCAGAATCCTTAACTTAATCTCATCTGCAAAGACCCATTTTTTACTTCACTTACATGTGGAATCTAAAGGACAAAAGAAACAAACAAAATAGAAACAGACTCATAGATGCAGAGAATGGACTGACAGTTATTGGGGAGAAGGTTGGGGGGCTGGGTGGAAAAGGTAAAGGGATTAAGCAGTACAGACTGGTAGTTATAGAATAGCCACAGAGATGTAAATTACAGCACAGGGAATATAGTCAGTAATCTCCTGATAACTACATATGCAGGGCCAGGTGGGTACTCAGAGTATAGGGGGGCTACTCTGTAAAGTACGTGATGGTCTAACCACTTTGCTGTACATCTGAAACTAATACAGAATAATATTGAATGGTTCCAGGGATTAGGACATGGGGATCTTTGGGAAACCATTTTTCAGTTTATCACACTCCCCATTCCTCCTCTTCTCCCACTGCAGCCCCAGACAACCACTGATGTACTCTGTGTCATCATAGATTCTTTTCCTGGGCATTGCAGAGAAACACAATCATACAGTATTCAGTCCATTTAGCATAGTGTTTTCAAGATTTGTGCATGTTGTAGCGGTACTTGCTGCAGCAAGTTACATCAGGACTTCATTCCTTCAGATAGCTGAATAGTATCCCATTGTACAGAAACACACTTTGTTTATCCTTTCATTGGTTGATACACATCTTATTTGTTTCCATTGTCTGGCTACTATGAGCAATGCCACTACATATATTCAAATACAAGTTTATGTGTGGACATATGTTTTTATTTCTCTTGGGTATGTAACCAGGAATAGAATTGCTTGATCATATGGTAATTCCATACTTACCATTTTGAGGGACTGTCAAAAAGTTTTCCAACACGAGTGTACCATTTGACACATGCACCAGCAATGTGTGAGTGTTCTCTACAGTCTCTCTAAC